GAACAGCCAAACGCCGCTACTTCCACAATAGTATTTCAAACTCCTCTTCTGCAGATGCACGGAAGTTCCTTAAATCCCTGGGCTTTGGAAAATCACATTCCAATTCTCTAATCCCAAATATTTCACTCAGTGACTTGAATATACACTTCTCTTCTGCTTCACGTCTGCATTTGTCCACCAAAGTTACGACTCTCCAGGAACTTAATTCCATGCCTTTGTTATCATGTAATTCTTTCAACTTCAGTTCAGTGACTGACGATGATACTAGAAAAGCCATACTTTCAATAAAATCTTCCGCAACCGGCTATGATGAGGTGAGTAGATCTATGATACTTCTCATACTCGATATTATTACTCCAGTTCTCACTCACATCATCAATTTCTCCCTTTCTACTGGTATTTTCCACAAGTTATGGCTTAAATCTTTTATCTTGCCTCTTGCGAAAGTACCCAATCCGTCCCTACCCTCCCATTTTAGACCTATATCTATACTGCCGTTTATTTCCAAAGCCCTTGAATCGTTGGTACACAAACAAGTCACCTCTTTCATTGCGAAATGCAACTACCTTAATACATATCAATCTGGCTTCCGCCCGGGACATAGTACCACCACAGCGTTACTTCAAGTTACATAAGATTTTAGAGAGGGCATGGAGAGGTCATGTTTGACTGTTCTGGTCCTTATTGACTTTTCAAACGCATTTAATTGTGTCGATCACGACTTACTCCTTGGATTACTTTCACGCCTAAACTTCTCCTCGTCAGTACTGAACTGGTTTTCCTCTTATCGTCGCGGTCGCCAGCAGGCTGTTCGGGCTGGTCAGAATTTTTCCGACTGGTGCGATCTATATCTAGGTGTACCGCAAGGCGGCATTCTCTCTCCTCTCTTGTTTTCGATGTTTATCAATCTTCTAACTACCCACCTTCAATGTTCTTACCACCTCTATGCTGACAATCTTCAGTTATACTCACAAGCGTCCTCGATTGAAATTGCTACCGCTATTGCAGCTATTAATTAGGACTTACAACGCATTTCAGACTGGTCACAGCGATTTGGTATAACGGTAAATCCCAGTAAATGCCAGGCTATTATAATTGATAATCGTCGATTGGTGTCACAACTTAACATACCTGATCTACCATTCATTTGCTATGAAAACTGTGTAATTCCTTTCCGCACTAGTGTCAAGGATCTGGGTTTAATTATTGACCCTACCCTTAGTTGGAGGTTACAGGTGTCCGAGATTTGTCGTAAAGTCACAGGCATACTTCGTTCCATCTATCGTCTTAAGTTCTTTCTGCCTCCTTCAACTAAGCTTCTACTCATCCAATCTCTAATTCTTCCATTATTTGACTATGCCGATGTTTGTCTTTCTAATATCTCTCATGAGCTGCTAAGCAGGTTGGACAGGTTACTTAACAACTGCATACGATTCATCTTTGGCCTGTGCAAATACGATCACATATCGGAATTTCGCTCTCTTCTTAATGATTCTTCCTCACCCCTTTACCTAAAAGAAAGATTCCAATTCCGTAGTGACACTTATTCTCCCAATCTCCGATCTTCACACAATTTATTACTGTCTACTCCTCTCCACCATTCTGGGTTTATGTCAAATTCTTTCACATTAACTTCCATATCCCTTTGGAACAAATTGCCTGTTGACCTGTGAATAATACCTGCTAAAAACGTTTTTAAAAGAAAACAAATTTGAGTCCACTTACTTAATATGTTTATAGTTATTTGTATATAAATTTATGGATATATATATATATATATATATATGTATATATGTGTATGTGTATGTATATATATATGTATAAATATGTGTAAGTGTATATAATATATGTATGTATATATATATATATATATATATATATATATATATATATATATATATATATATATATATATATGTGTGTGTGTGTGTGTGTGGCGTCTTGTCCTCTCCTTTTCTCAATTTTCATACGCTCTATTACTTCAGGAATTTCTTCGCTCTACCATCTTTATGCAGACGATCTCCAAATATATTCTCAAACAAGTATTGAAAATCTTCCATACGCCGTGCTATCCATAAATCGTGATCTCTCAATTATTTATGAATTTTGCACATCTTATGGAATCAAGGTTAACCCTAGTAAAACACAGGTAATAGTGATAGGTAGCAGCAAACTACTACAAAAAATTACATGGCATACGCTGCCCTTTGTTTGTTTTGAGAATTCTATTATTCCTTATAGTAAGGTTGTAAAAAATCTAGGGGTTTTAATTGACAGTACAATGTATTGGGCACCTCAAATTGAACAGATAAGCAAGAAAATGTTTGCAGCTTGTGGAAGTCTTAAGAGACTCCGAAATTTCCTGCCCATTTCTACCAAAATTGCGTCAGCACATTCCATTTTTTTACCAATTTTAGACTATGCTGACATATGTTACACAGATATTACCATGGAGCAATTAAACAAGCTTGAGCGTCTTCAGAATATATCCATTCAATTCATATTTGGTTTACGCAAATATGATCATGTATCCCAATTTCGAAATCAACTCAAGTGGCTCCCTATTCGCCTTCGCCGGAATGTTCATATACTCTCTTTACTTTTTTTGTGTACTGTTTGATCCGAAATCTCCAAGGTACCTTAAGGAACAATTTCACTATCGACATGAAATTCATAACCGCAATTTGCGTTCGGTATACAGCTTGGCTTTAAATACTCCTTACAACGTAACTTCATTTTATAATAAATCATTTACTTCACTAGCAACGCGACTTTGGAATTCATTACCACTTAACATTCAGAAAGCGCAATCTTTACAGTCTTTTAAAAAACTACTTAAGGAGTATTATTTGAAGTTCCCGTCATAATAATAAATTATATTTATTTTTCTTCTCATATATACTTGATTTTTTTTTTTTTGTTAAATTTTCTCTGCAGTATATGTTTGAATATATTAAATTAAAATTATTGTACATATATATGTATATATGTATGTATATATCTATGTATATATATTATAAGCATGTACATAAATATATATATTTATAATCATTAAATATTGTATATATTATTAATATATTTTTATAAATATTAGTCGTTGCACCTATCCGTCAAAATATAAAATTATAATGTCCTTTTGTGTTCGGTTTGTCAGGCAGAAATCGCTTAAAGCGATTTGACCACCGTTTGTAGTCATAAGTTTTCCGTTATTATGATAACTTTGTTCAAATGCAACAAAGAGTTATCTATCTATCTATCTATCTATCTTTATATAAATATATATATATATATATATATATATATATATATTATGTATGTGTAGTATGTACATTTTGAATTGAATGTGATCATGACAACTTTACTGCCCATAACTCACTCTCTGTTCTACCCAAGGTTAGCTGGTAGAGAATGCCATATAGCATTAAGCTCGCCTTTTGTACAAAATCTTTGGTGCAATAAAGAATAAAATAAATAAATAAATAATACTTCGAAGCGATATAACTGCGAATTATGATTTCTTATTAGTGTATTCTTAATTGTAATTGGTGTTCGGTAATGAAAGTGTCAATTTTGTTAATTCAATCGACAGTTTTTTATTGTCACGAATCCCAAGCTCGTAACAATGCATGAAAAACTACACTTATTCATTCACTGTAAATGTAAAGTTATTTATGCAGTTAGCGTATCTAGAAAATATTTTAGTTTTCCCTTAATTCATACACTAAACACTAATTATATTCTAAATATGAAGCTTCTATATCTGCTATAAGTGCCTTAGAGTTTTGATGATCGGTCAGTCAGTGAGTGATAAAATTAAGATAGTTTGACTGGTTATAATTCTTAAACTACTGGTTCAAATTAAATATAATTTGAAATATACCGTGTTTAATGTATGCTTGGTTACTGAAAATTCAGGTTTCTAGTTTTATCGACAAGGAAGTTATAGGGGGTTCGAACACGGCCTAAACTGCTTCGAGAAAAGGATGGTACGGCCGTGATGCTTTCTTGCTTGACTTGGCGGTGGCACTGCCGTGCCCCCAGATATTTATTATTCACGTTAATAAGACCTTAAATATTAATAAGACCTTAAAAGTTAATAAGATTATAATTTTTTAAAATTTAAGTGAGAATGGCTGCTAACTTTAAATCCTTTTATATCTTAAATAGTCATTCAAATTTAAAAATGATTAAAGAATCTTAGGATAATTTTATAAAACCTACTCAATGCTATCCCACTTGACATAGTCCATCGAATTTTATTTTATTTTCTTATAATATGGCGTCTGGTTGTCACCATATCGAATTTTGAATACTGTCAGGTCTTTAGTGACAGTCACAAGATTGATATTAGAGGATCCGGCTTAAAAACACCCCCTCATTATTTTCCTTGAACAAATTTTTTTTCATAATAAAATATTAACAATAAAGACCCTTTTTACTGGAAAAGAGGCATGCCATCTTAGTCCTCACGGTGACAACGCATCTGCATTTTGATTCGTAATCGAAGATATATATAGATGTCTATGGGCCATAGCAACCACTTACCATCAGGTGGACTGTGTGCTCGCTTGTCACACTCTCATTTAAAAAAAAAGAAACAAATCGGGGTGATTGACAGCCTATCTTTAGGCAAGGCTATTTTTAATTAAAAATATTTAATTATTTTTTACCGGTTACGGTCAATTTTTTCCTTGATAAAATTGGTCTCAATCGAAAAAAAATACGAAGAAAATGCCACAGCATGGTTGACTACCTTTTTCCATGCAACAATACTCGTTTTATCCTTAAACCTTTGTTTTATCTTATCTAGAAATTCCCGGTACCATCCGAGTAAGGCAGTGTTTTTCCCCGTGGCTCAGAAAGGACAAGCCAGTCTTCTAATGGACTAAGAGAGTGAGGGAATAGAGAAGGTTGCTATTTTCGAAAAATCCTATACGGCTGGTTTTATAAAATAATTTTTGTATAACATACATCATTTTCATAATGTTTTTTTTTTTCAGAAACAATGTATTTCTTATGTGGTTCCCAACCATGGTGAACTTGTTTTCTAACTCAGTATCTGGTGATACTACAGACGCTGGCTTTTGTGAGGGTGTAGTTCAGAACGCCACGAATAGTGTTCAAGTTGAAAATGTTGGTAAAATAATCTTTAGTTCATATAATTTTAAATGTTTTATTGTATGTAGCCTACGTGATTGATGGTTACAGGCTACTGTAGCTCATGAACACCTGCAACTAGTTATACAAAGAAAGCTAACGATGTGTTGTCATATCTGAGGCTAAATATATATAATGTCTCATAGCCTGCAATCATTACTGTCTCTCTATAAACTTTAGACTAGATCACAGCAGTGCACATTGTTGGCTGCTTGGCGTTGGAAATACATAAGATAATGATGCTTAACCAGACGGACTCTAAGGCAGAAATGGAATTCTACTACCCTGTAATTTTTTGCGGCCATTTTGTTTCATTTAGTTGAAGTTTGTTTGTCACTCGAAAATTATAACAAAAATATTGTTTTCTCTAGTGACGTACTGACATTTCAAGTGTAGTAAAGTCTCACTAGATTAGGTTAACCTGATGATGTATCGTACGAATTAGGTGGCTTATGATAGCTTCGTGGTAATTTGTGGATGAGTTTAACATTGACATTGTGATGAGGATGTAATAATGAGAATATTTTCACTGCCTCAGTGGGGAAAAACTTTGCCATAGTTGCCACGCCTAGCGGACGAGCTTGCAACTGCAGTGTTTTAAAAATGTTGAGTTGTTATCAGATACATGCTGCTCTCCTGTTCCAGAGTCCCTCTGTCGCCACTAAGACACCTACAGGATAACATGGGGTGGTTACTTATATAACGCCGTCAATACACGGCAAGGGTCATTTAACAAATTTATTTTATATATATTTTAAATAATAATTGAATATTATTAATATTGGTAATAAGATAACAAAATATCTCTTTTTTTCAGTATGTATGTGATGACGTGATGTCACCGAACACAGTTTATTCGGGCATTATTCTTGGGCTTACCTTTACATTTATTAACCTCGTGGCTTCAAGACTAGCTTCGTGGAGGCGTCTGGTGCTGATCGGATGTCTACTGATAGCAGCGATAAGCTCTCTTCTGGTGGGGATCGTCACGAAACCCGTTTTGAGCATGATTTTTTTCTCTTTGATACAAATAACCTCCGTCGGTGATGGTAGCGTCGCGTCCTACTTCGTGGACATGTATCCTACGACATATAGGTTTGTATTTTAACCCTCGACTAAAACAGGGGGGTATCATATGTTTAACATATGTATCTGTTTGTTGCGTAGTAGCTCCAGAACGGATGAACCGATGCAGATTTAGATTTTTTTTTGTTAGATGATTTGATGGAGAATATACATATCATGAACATATGAATTGATAGAGAATATACATCATAGCCACGATTCAATAAAAAAAATTCAGCCGTTTGAAAATCAATTAGCTCTTTTCGTTTAAGGAGTTTTTAAATGTTTTAATTTAAGTTATCTTATGAAAGCATCTGCCTCGTACGTCTTGTTGTCGTGAATGCAACTGTTAATCATGTGCTTCCTAGTTTGAATCCCGAGCTAGGTGAAAATTAGTTATTGAATTTTTCCCTCAGTAAATTCTTAATAGCAGCCTAAGTTAGGACGTTGGCATCGTTACACCACCGTACCTCTGAGAGTACGTAAAACCGTTGGTTCTGTGCCTGTTCTCCCCGGTCGTGTAAGATTGTCGTCCCATCGGAATAAAGAGTGCGTCCGTGCTTGCGCACACTCTTGTGCACTTTAATCCTGACCTGAGTAGATGGCCTAATGTCATACTTAACGAAAGCTACCTTTAACTTTTAAATTTTGATCCAATCTACGTAGAAAGAGTATCATGAAGTCTTGCAGTGGTATGTGGATGATTTTGGACACGGCATACCACAGACTTCCCGGAGCGCCGTCGGTGCTTCATATCGGCTAAATGTTCTCTTGCGCGGATTTTTGTGGATCGTTTTGTTTATACGTCGGGAGTTAAAAAGTTAAAATTAAACTCTACAAAATCAGTAAAATTATTGTCATATAAATTAAAATTAAGTTTGACCTTCAATACGACTTACATTTACGTAAGAACTACGTTTTGTGCTTGTCTTACTTATAATTTACCGGATTTACTAACATAATTAAAATTATACGGTACCCTCAGAACGAGATTCCCACTCTAACTTTTCCGTTTTATTACTAATCATATTATAAGCAGTGCTTACTACAATCCCAAATTATCTTTCACAGAAGCATGGCAATGAGTTTGGGAGTGATGGTAGCCCGCTTGATTTCCTTCACTGGAGTTAACGTCATCGGCGTCATCATTGTTGACCACTGCAACCTCACTTTCTACTGCTGGTCGATCTTTGTTTTAAGTAAGTTTTATACTGCACTAGCTGATACCCGCTCGCTTTGCTAGGCGCACGATAATATTTTATTGCTGAACCTACTCAGATGTAAAATATCAATTTTTGTTATGATCTTCACTAGATGACCTTTTATACCGTCTGAAAAAAAAATAGTGAACGGAGTAGAAGCCTATGGTACTGATATATTACAAAAATAAAACAAAAATTGTGATTTAAATAAATAAATTTAGTAAAGTCCATCGAAATTCAAATTACTTTACGAACGACAATGAAACAATAAATTTAGTCGGCATTTTGACCGGCAAAGTAATTGTTCAAACAAACATTTCAAACGTTTAATACAAAACTTTTGTTTGTTTGTGACTATTTTACCGTCTGGAAAATTATGTTCTGCGTAAGTGGAATATTGTAAGTAGCTACTAGCTATCAATCATGCATAAGACAGTCCTAAAGGCTACGGGTATTCGTATCCGCGTTACCACAGACGCAATCAAATTTAAAAACCTATTCTGCCCGCTGTGTACACATCGTACGTGATTGAAAGTAGCCTTTTTTTTTAAATAGAAAACGAGACATTTTTTACTGAAATGAGGCATTCCATCTTAGCCCTCAAGGGTTACCATCAGGTGGACTGTGTGTGTGGCATGAGGACTAATACCGAAATTAAATTAAATGGCTGAAGAAAGAGACTTTCAAAAGCAGCTTAGAATTCAAGAATCAATTCGAATCTGACTCAGACCAAAAACACGAGATAGTACATTAAAAATCATTCATAAGGTACGTGAGGGTAATATAGTCACCTTAAGCTTTGCCGTCCTTTAAGAACAAAACTAGGAGGAGGACAAAGATAAAAACATAAAGTTGTATACTATAACTAATATACTAAGAACAAAATAGCAAACAAGCTTAAAAATTAATTATGAACACCTGGAAAAATCAGCTTCAAAATACTAACCACACAACACCATACTAAATACTAGAAGCTATCCTCGAAAGTATTTGTAAAATATAACATAATATAACTAAACACGGAAAACTTCCAAAAAAATACATGAAACAATTAATTATAAGGCGTTTGCGTACAACTGAAAATAGGCTGCGGTCGCTAGTGAAAGACAGTAAGAGCGAGCGAGACGCATGAACATTTTTTGTTATACCGGCGCCAGGCGGCCGAGTGGGAGGGCCGTCACATCGTTGCAGCCAACATTTTTAGAATCAGTTGACCGCGTCTTATGTTACCAAAAAATATTTTTCTCTTATAATATAATTATTTTTAATATAGGTACTTCGTGAAGTAATAACGTACCCGCGCGCAATAGCTATCTAATGCTGCTGAGTTTCGTATGGTGAGTGTTGAGAACCGGAGACCATTTTTACTGGAAACGAGGCATTCCATCTTAGTCCTCAGGGGTAATCACGCATTTGTGTTTTGATTCTTAATGGAAGAGTTGTAGATGTCTATGGGCTACAGCATCTACATGCCATCCAGTTTGTGGTGGTATTCTAACCTCTGCCGGGGATTTTCACCACCCACTGACCTACTGACAAGGAGAAATCGAGAGCCCGTGTGGGTTTGGTGCCAATATTCCCGATATTTTATTTAGTTTTACAATTAGTGCCCGAAGTTAGTTGAGGTGTTCACACTTCACCGACGCTCCAAGTCTGCATCAGGTTATGCTGCATAAAGCAATTTAATTGGACGATGATAAATGTAATAAATGAAAAAATTTTTCATTAACAGGTGGTGTCGCTGTGGCGTTATTTCTGCCGTCCGATAGAAAAAAATAAAAAACTTTTATTTAATTATAGAAATAAATAAATCAAATTTGACATAACGTGTTTTACTGAAACAGCTAACTCCTTACGTTAGGAGGCAACAGAGGAAACCAACAAGATGAGCAACAGCGTCGTCCTAATTACAAGGAAGAAAACCGCTGTTGACATCTCACCGATCGTGGCAACTAGGGCAAGTATCCTGTGTGGTAATCTATTGGGGAGGCCTTTTATCAGCAGTGGACTTGTGATAAGTTGTAATGGAATCTCTTTACATGCTGGTGTCTTCCTCCAGTGGAAGCACAGAAAAGTTGTGGCTTTTGCAGGCGCCGATGTTAGATTTTGTAAATTTTTAAAATTAATCAAGATTAAAATAAAGAAATAATTTTTATATATAGGTATGTAAAGTCGGTCATCCAGCATTGGATTCAATTTAAACAGCTTCTTTTTGACTTAAAACTCGCTGAGTCCTGTGATAGGCTTCCCCCATTGTATGACAAATAGACCGGGTATTTGCAGTAGTATTCACGCTTGGCAAGCGGGTTGGCAACCGCAGCTTTTTATAACTTTGCACTGTTATCAAGAACTTTATTATATATTTTTTTATTTAGACTTTAAATAGTTAATAAAGTTGGATATTTGCAATACTAGCCACGCTCGGCATGCGAGTTGTCAACTGCACATTTGTAATATTTTGAGCTGTGATCAGAAAGACGCTGCTGCCCATCTTATGTATTACTGTTCATGAATTCAGTTTTCTCACACGTTCTCCGTGAATAGAACCACATTAATGACATTTTGAGCTTTCCCAATATTAATAAAGATCATGAAATTAAACCCCATTTTATTAAGACTATATCAACTTTAATAATGAATACTATGTAAATAACGCATTTCCGATTCCAGGACAATTTTCCGTAAATAAAGACACACCGGAAGCCCGATATAAAAAAGGGTTGCTTGACGTATGATATTTATGCGATTCTAATAAACTGACTTATGTATTTCTATAGCCGTTAATATTGCCAATATAGACACAGATACCGACGTGTCTCTCTCTTCAAGTGATCCAGTTTTGCAAATTTTAGTACGAAATAGCATTATCGATGTTTCTAATTCAAGCCTACGCGAGCGAAACCGCGGGTAAAAAGCTAGTAATAGCATATATCTTTAATTAATGATTTCTATGTAATATAGTAAATATATAAATGTGTCTAAATAAGTCCTATAAAATGTTAAATATTATTCTAATTGTAATATTTCTACTCCGAACACGGTTTCCACCACCACAACGCAACCATTCTTTAATTTCAACATTTGTAATTACCATATACTAAGAAATAAACAATTTTCTATTCTAAGTAACAGAATGCACAAAGTTGTCATTAACAGTATGAGCTTTTTCAGGTCGATAGTACAAATGAGCATGCCTCAGGGCTCTAATTACGGCCCCTTTCTGTTTCTTGTATATATTAATGATTTACCTTATACAGTAGGGAATAACCATGGTATACTATTATTTGCTGTTGACACTTCATTAATTTTCACATTAAAACGACAGTTACTAAAATATGACGAAGTAAATAAATCTATATCTAAATTAGTAAATTGGTTGAATACGTTAGTTTTTACTAAATCCATGGGTTTAATGTTAATAATTTGCATTTAAATGGGACGAAAATTAAATGTATGGAATTCATAATTCCAAACGTCAAACACTAGACCCCCCTAGTGGGCATGCCCGTGCAGGAAGGGATCGGAAGCAAGAGGGAAGGATATTGTCAAATAATATACTCGTAGTTAATCAAATGTGCGTTTCGACGCAACCGAAAGCGTTGGCTCCACCCCTAACAATGACCCATCTCACTTTGTCAATAACAGAAATGTGGAGAGACATACTTAGTACTCGTTTATTTAAAAAAAAACAGACTACCTGTGTGATTTGATTCTAAAAAATGGTGCTCGACAAGACTCAGCTTCTTTTCATTCAAAATTACATTTGAAGTTGTGAATTTCATTCATTCAGTTTTAGTTTCATTTAAATGTAAGTTATTTACATTAAACCAATTTACTAATT